TGGATCTCGTTCAAAGCGCCTGCGGTGCCGCTCACCAAGTCGCGGATGATGATCCGTCCCCTGCCAGCCAGTCGACCACTAGACTACAACCAGTATCCCAGGGTAATCGCCGTCCTTAATACAAACTAAAATACGTTTTACACCCGTTCAGTGCCCTTAGAAACACTACTAGCTACCAGGCCCAGTGTATCTCGGGTAAAGTTTTTTTTAAAAAACGAAAACTGCGTAGGTGACTTTTTCATTAGCCCAGTTACTAAAGCATATAACTATTCTTCTGGAGACAAATAAAAAAAAACAAGATTTGTATTTTTTAAACGTACAAAAGGTTACATAACCTATAGGGAAAATCTGAGGAAAATATTCCCATTGTCTGTCTCAGTATTTTTCCATTTATGAAAAAAGAAACTTGAATAACTTGTGTGACCTTTTTATGATAAAATTGTTTGCAAGATGGAGTATATTATTTAATATTTACTGATATACCATTCCCCATCCTATCGTATCTAATTGTAAGACCAGAAAAAAAACTTTTTTAGTAAGCATCAGGCTGGTTATATTTGCAGGATTATTTAAACGAGCATTATTTTTAATTAAACATTTTGTGATCTTTTTTACAATATGACTGTTTCGTTAAGATAAAGTTTCCGCTTGGTCTGTAGGAAAGCAAATATGGTCAGCACCATCGGTTGCGGAGAATGTCCGGGACGCATTGCTTTAATGGGCAAGTATCCCACTATATTTAGTCTTTCTGAAAATTTGATCCAGTACTTCTTAGTATCTGTAGTAAATAGTATAATTAAAAATAATGCACGCTTAAATATCTCATTTATAAAAGTATTCTGTGATTGGAATATAATCAACCTGTAATACAATCCATTGCTAAAGAGCTTCTTAAAGCCTTACACTTCGCTTGTATAGGCTGAGACATCCTAGCATTCTCATGTTTAGGTACATACCTTTGTTAATAGGTTGCAATATAACCCAAGAATGAGGTAGCTTATGTTGTTTTCAGAAAACTTTAGAGAGCACAAAAGTAAAACCGGCAGAAGAACAGCCAAAGGGGCTTCGGGCGAAGCCAACGTTCGAGGCGGCACATCTAAGGAAACCTTACCGGTACGAAGGGCACACGCGAGACGAAGTATTTTTCCCAAATTATTCGTAGAAATATCAGTAGACGAATGTGAACAATGCAATAGGTGTGGCACAAGTTCAACTAGTAATTGTTACAGAGTTTATTCAACGTGATAACGCAAATCTGTTGCGAATTCATTTATTGTACAAATTAATCAAGAGACATTCGAGTGAAATCATGAGAATTGATTTCTTAACTGTTTTTATAACGCGAGTAAAATATTTTTTAAAAGATTGTTAACAATGTTATTTACATTATTATTTTTTTATATATATTTTGTGTATGTACAGTCGCGGAAATCAGCGGTGTTTCTCTTTCAGATAATGCCTTATTCTTTGCAACGAAACAAACTCCGCCTCTTATATAACTAATTAGGTAGCAGTCAGTTGCTCAAACGACGGAATAATAAAAATCAATACGTCGTGTACTGACTGACCTTTTCTGTACAAATTTAAAAACAGCGTCTCATTGGCAATTATTGTATTAATACGTACATGGGTTCAATCGACCGTAGCTTTAAGGTTGAAACACTACCAGATTACCCGACTGTACTTATGTGTATTATTGTGTTATGAACTTTTTTGTTTGCATTTAAATAATATAGAATTGTGTGAAAGTATAGTTTCAAAAGATTTGAAAAAAACATATTGTCATCTCTATTCTTCTCTCTGAAAATTGTGAGATGGTAAAATAATAACTGTTGTATTTCCAAACTATGACGTATTGACTATACACATTTCATAACAAAAAATATTTAGAAACTTCATATGTTTTCTCAAGTTATGGCAACAGTAATTCGAACACGGGTTGACTTGCCCGTGGGGAAATCATTTCGGCGTAATTCCCACGTGTATGGCAACGTCATTAATTTTCTTCGTTATGCAATCTTGACGTGTTTAAATAACGGTTGGTCTCCACTCTTGAGTCGTAGCACTTCTCTTCTTACCTGAGTTTCTTTATCCTATTCTAACGTTCCCAATAACTTAGTAAACTGTATTCGTTGAGATACACGAGATACATTTGTTAGCCCAACTTTTTATTTGAGCCTTGTTTGTTGTGCCTCGTCCGCTTCCTTTCCGAAGTTTCTTAGTGTTCTCTATTATATGAAATTCCTAGCGACATAATTAGGTTATATATACACTTAAGCCCGATACATACAATCAGTTCAAAGTAGTTGAAATTTTCAGTTAAAATAGCTCGTGTAGGCAACATTTTTACCGTCATCACTGTAGTAATAAAGTTTTGCCAACACATGTTTTAACTGAATTTTTCTACTGTCCAGTTAGAATTATACGTATGTACCTGGCTTACTTAACTTAGTAAAACGTAAAAGGAGTTTCTAGGTGTTTTGTATTATATAAAATTCCTGGCGACATATCAAATAAGTATATTAGCTTTAAGCTTCATACTTTTTAAGTATACTGTAAATTACGAATAAATCATAAGTTTTATGGCCAGTGTTTTTGTTATTGTTTGCAATATTTTTATTTAGTTTCTAATTAGGTAGGAACGAAATAAAAGAAGTCAAATCAGTCTCATCCACTTTATTTAAAAAAACATTGATACATGTAGTGTTTTAATTTTTGAGCAACATTTATTCGGACTACTAGAATTTGAATCAATCTTAGAAATCGGTTAACACGTTCAGTGCGTGACGCGATGTTAGCTATCATTAATACATTAATAGTGGCATTGAACGTGTTAATTTGAAGTCCCACTAGTGCAGCGCACGCGGAGATTTCGTTTTGAAACAGTTTATCTATAAAAGCATTGCGACAGTGAGACTACGTTTACAAATAGGCTGCGGCAGGGACTGAATTACAGTGGACACTCAGAATAATATAATCGAAAAGTACTAATCAACATTTTTGCCATCTTCAGTTTAACTAAAGATTAATTTCTAAACTAACATTTAATACTACACATTAAATATGATAGTAAGTATACGACATATATCGGTGTACTAGATATTGTATTACAACGGCTCATAGGCCCACATAAGAACATCAAGTACCTCAAAAAATACAATAAAAAAATCCTCTACTTTGAAAAAGATTCGATATTATAAACAGATATAGCCTTAAACATACTATTTTATTAAAAAGTACTTCCAAAATATGTAATTATCAAATAAGTTTTTAACTCCCAAACTACTGACCTGTTTTTGGTATTTGCATTAGATAAAACCAGTACAGACATCAAGATACTACGTACATGTAATTACTTCAATCGCTTAATTACGCGACTTACTTTAAGATAATATAAGTAGTATACGCTATGTTAATAAAAATTAATGTTTAAAAATCACTTGCTACGAAAACGAAGAACTAAGTAGCACCATATATAAATTGATTATTTGCTGCACTCAGAGTTATACGGATACTTAGATACATATTAATACGAAATTTGCGCTAAGCGATTCCCTTAAACAACTCTGGATACAGCAGTAAATCTTAAAATAAAAAAAATATGCAAGAGAAAATAAACAAAGCGCTTACTTTGGCGAAACTATTATAAAATTAGTAGACAGCGATTGCACATTGGGTTATTTATAACCGATAGCAGCTCTATTCAACAATCATAAATATTAAACAAAGTACGTAATTACCGCTGGAAACATAAAAAAAAATACACAAAACAACTACATCATCCCAACAGGTAATAAGCTTAATAAGAACATTACATAAGTTTAACATTACTAATACTTGAGACAGACAAATGTCTGTTTCACAAATTTACACAGAAATCATAATAGGTATGATATACATATGTACATAATTTATACATATGTGTATATAAACATATGTGTACTCTACATATACACACACAAGACAGGCTAGTGCCACTTATATAATAGTAAAAAAAATTTTTTGGAAACTTAGAATTAAACCAGAAATTCAGAACTACAGAGAGGTTACTAAAATTCTATTATTGATATTATTATATATTTAAATAAACTAAAACCTATGGCTGAAGATTCAAAGTATTGTTAAATATTAAATTGACAATGCATTACTTAAATATTATACTTACTTTATAATACTAATTTAATTTTAAACAGTTATATGGTAAAGGATAGTAAGGGCCTGTCCCACCATTGACTGATAGATAAGATAGCTTAAAAGTGACGTCACTGTCAGATAAGGGAACAAAATCAGATTCCATCGCATATTTTTTACGTTGGATTATCAGACAGTTTACAATTTGGTCGGACAGGCCCTCAATGTTGTGTCTTAGTCGATATAGGCTCCAAGGCTACACACAGCTAAACTAATGGATGCATGATTGCAAGTCTATGTTTGAATGGTGGGATCTCTGGCCTTTCAGCTCTGTTATCTACAAACTAACGTATAGAAATGATACAAGTTTCCTACTAATAATCCAGCATTATGGGTTGAAGTGGAGAGGTTACATTATTTACACTAATACTATACATATTAATGTATACTTAAGTCTACTTTGGGGAAAAATAATCAACTTAAATTATATAACGCACCAATGGATGGTGCAACTTAACACAAAATAGGCGGACCACTCGACATATGTCCTAAATGACGTTAACAAGGTATTACCAACATACACAATAATGGCTATAACAGACCTTTTTATAGGAACACGCGGTTACTTAAAAAAATCAATCCAACCAATCAAAAAATTAAAAAAAAGAAATCGATTTTACTTATGTCAATGGTTAAAATTAGTAAAATATTAAAAAGTTATGGACAATTAATTAATTAAAGTTGTTGTCCTTCGAATAATGGCGTGCCCCTAAAAAAAGTGAACAATATGCTACAAAAGAAATATAAATCTTTTAATATCATCATCACCCCACCCCACCGAGGGGCTCGGAGCCTACCCTAAGTAAGGGTTGGTTGACTTCACAAATATCTTTGAATTTCTTCACCGATATGTGCCTTTTAATATCAATGTGATAAAATCTAAACAATTGCCCGAATACGTTAAAGAGATAAATGAAATTTAAACAAAAAGTCGTTAAAATTTTTTTTACAAAAAATTGTTTTTTCGTAAATTATTAAATTTTTTTTCGTTATAACCATCAATCAAATGTTGTTGTAATACCTTAAAGATAAAAAACTTAAAATATACACAAAACATAAACATTTTTTTAAAAAATTAAAATTAACAAAGTAACAAAAAGGGGAACCATATCAGAAGCCATTAATATTTCTGAATCCAATCGGAAACAAGAATGGCTTAAATATTTACAATAAATTTATTAAAAGAATTGCATCAAACATAAGTTAAAAATTAATCAAATAATACAAAATATAAGTACGATGGTTAAATTATATAGGACATAAATGTAATCAACTAAATGATAATAAAAATAATGGAACAGAATGTCCATGAAATGTGTCGAGTAAATAATATTTTTTTGGTAGACACTAAACATAGACTATACTTAAATATACGCAATAACTATTAATAACTATTCATAAACGGTTATTTTTAAATTACCAGAAAAAAAGCAATTAAATGTGCTATTATTTTGTAAATCAAAGTCATTCACAAATAGAAATTAAAAAAAAAACATAGACAAAAGTTTTACAAACACAAGAAGATTCCTTTTAATTAATGAAAATGGCCGTAGCGAGGTGAAATTATGGATTTTATATAGAATGCATGGAAATTGTTATTATCGTGAAACGGGGTGAAGCCATGTTAAATTGGGACCCGTGGGTCATGCCTAATCCTATTTACCCCGTTTTACGATAGAAGTATTACACAAAAATATGTACATTGCAATCGACCAATAATAAGTGTTAATTTAGAACAAAGAAAGATATACTTTTTTCTGATAATTACAAAACAAGCGAGTTTTTTAAAAGCCACTTAACTAAATCAGTTCGTAATGGCGCACTTCACCAAACACTGATAATCACTATTGTCCACTGTTAAGAAAATTTAATCTTCCTCTAATCAAAGTCAGCAAGATTAATTTTGAAAATTAATTCTGAAAAAAAGATACATTAAATTAGTACCAAATATAACCAGATTATAATAATTTCATTATTTTAATGCTAAGTAATAAATTTCATAACTTCACTTATAAAGCTTTTAAGTCGAATATTTAGGTAAACTAAGCATAGTTTTTAAAACTTGAATATAGAGGAGAGATTCCTGAATTTATTTAATTAATCTATGATTTGTCAATATACTGACCTCATTCGGACTCAGTAGAGTTTTGTTCGTTCTCCGGGCGCAGAGCATCGATGCAGGCGACAATCTTGAGTGCGGGCCCCAGCTTGATGGAGAGCGCCATAACGAGGTGCTCAGCCTTGATAAGAAGCAAAGCCTCGCCATCAACTTCCTGAGCCAAGAACTCGTTAGCATAGCCCGCACATCCTGGTATTTTCCTTATGAATTCGTATACTTCGGCAACCTGCGTAAAAAACAACATTTTATTTTACTGCAACAGTTTACAAAATAGAATCATCAGATTGCAATTTCTTTAGCGTAATAAATACTAAGCCCATCTACGTCTTGTAAAAGTTTGGATGGATGGATGTTAGTTTGTAGTCTGATCTACTAGAGTGATCTCCATGAAATTTGGCATAAATGTTGAGGATATCTCAAAGAACACGTAGGCTACTTTTTAATTTCAGGCAGACGGAGTCTGGGCGAAAGCTAATCAGTTAATGAAGTTACAATAACTTACCGTCCACTTGTTAGCGTTAACGACCCTGGCAGGCGGAGCCATCTCTACAGGTTCCTCAGCGGGAGGATCAGCAGCCGCCTTTGAGGGTCCAGCAATTGGTTCTTCCATCTCAACAACGGCAGGGGCCGCAGCGTCGCTAGTGCTAGTTGCTGGAGCCTCAGTTTTCTTCTTTTTGCCTAAAACAAAAATTTAAATTAATAAACGTCAGTATAAAGTCCATCAAAGAAATATAATTTTCAGAGACACAGTTTCAAATCACGTATTTTGTTGGAGATCATTTTGTATCTTTATTCTTTTTTTTCTAAACAATTAAACTTAGAGGACTAATTTTGTTTTGTTATTTTGCATTCATAACAATTATTAAATGTAAAACTTAAAATGTTTACTTTAAGTGTCATTAAAGGTTTTCTTAACTCGACAAAGCTGTAGATAGCTACATAGTTACACAAAAATGGAATAAACAAAACAAATTTAATATGACTCTAAAATGTAAAATACACAAAAAAAAAAATTTCAATATATGATGGTAACACTAAAGTAAATGGTAGGGTGATAAATTAAAAAAAAAACAATGAAAAAAATTAAATCATTTTGCATGTAAATGCGTGTGTGTGTGTATGTGTCGTAAATAAATTATGTCATGTAAGTACTACCTTATCATGCACCAAAGAGTTTAAACATGGGGCCAAATTTTTACAAATGGTACGATTTTTTTCTACACAAAACGTATCCCTACCGTATTACTACAAGCACAAAAAACTTTGTTACACTAAAATGTAACAGTCCAAACTTTTCTTGTCTTCAACAAACGACAAAAACACAAGCTCAAACTTATATTAACATTCAAAAAAGGATAAAAAAATACCGAAGTAGGTAATATACTTACTTTGTTCCGGCTCAGTAGTCGACGATCTCTTATTATTACGAGTTTTATCTTGTTCTCTGTCACATGTAGTTGTCCAATCACGGAAAGGCCGGTTAACCTACAAATTCAAGATATTAGTTGAGATACCGAACTATACTTCGTGTGAAATCTTATGAACAATCCTTCATTTACTTTTGTATGAACTATCAAGCGCCATATTGAATCACTGGCGACGCTCAAAACAAAATAAATTATGTAAAACAATTGACGCAAGAGTTTGGTCGTCTTATTTTTACGAGGCCAATATTCGTTTTTTGTTAATATCATCACCAAGCCGTTGAAAGAACTTGGTATTCAAACTAAAGACGTGTATTACGCGTCAAAACCATCAATGAACCAACTCTAATGATTCTAACATTATTTGAAAGTTTCAAAATGAAACAGTAACTTACTGCAAACGGTTCCCCCGCTTCCTGAATTACGTAGCCTTCGATCACATGAGTCAGAATATTTGGCTTTACCATAGCCTTTGGCAATCCCTTATCTAAAAAAACAAATTCAATTTATCACAGCAGGTCACTCAAAACATGCTACCTATTATATTTCCACAACTAAAAATGAATTAACATTGATTTTGTTTAAAACGAACTGTCGCCCTAAAACTTAGTTAGCGCGGATTTTTTTTTAATGGCCCTCTATAACAATCCCGCGTACATCAGCTATCCTCCAGTCACAGTTCGGTCAAAATCGGTATACCCATTCCAGAGCCAGATCAGTCGCCATTTCCATGCCAGCTACCCTACAGTAAAGTTCCGTCAGAATCGGCGCAGCCGATTCGGAGATTACCCGGAATGAACGCAGCTTGCGGACAGACAGACAGACAAAAAAGTTTTTTTAACGCAATTTTCGTTATTAGCAACGCTTATATCAGCTTCACGAAATCTGGATTTTTTATTACATACAGACATTCCAATTTTATTATGTGTATAGAGTATAGACTAGTTAGTGCCCACGACTCTGTCGGCGCCGAAAAATAAATGTAGCCTATGTGTTCTCCCAGAATCTTTGAGAAGTTCTGGAGAACAACAAACGTTCATCATTCACATGTAAACTCTCGCATTCATGTTATTAGTATAATATTAGTATGATAAGATATTATATTAAATGTTTACTTAAAAAAAGCGGAAGTCCTTGCGACATTTTACCAGTGTGAAGACAAGAAAAGTAGGATAGGAGTTATTAGTTTCGAACATAAGTAAATGTACACTCTAATACATTTTATATGTTTTCACAACTTTAAACTAAGTTAATCACAGGTTTTACCGTTAAAACACATTTTAGCTTATTAATATACTTCAACAAGACATATAAACACAACGTTTCAAAACATTTAAACGGAAAAATCCTATGAGTGACGCAGATCGAATGATCCCCTTTTAAATTTTATCCCGATGTCGGCGAAATTACAATATTACATTTAAAGCGCTGCAACCGCTGACTTTGTTTAATACCATTAGACGGGTAAAAAACAACATTTTAGTGCAGCATAAACATCACATTTTGCTATATTACAAAAGGCGCAAAACCACATGAATAATATATTCGCTGCATGAAAAACAAGACGGAAAATTTTTAAATTTCAAATCTGGGTTTCAGGGCTACATCGTAAATAATTTATAAGCGAATGGCGTGATATCGCTTATATAAGTTCTTTTAAAAACTTTATAGAATGACTGTATTCCTTCTACTCGCCGTCAACACCGAATTTATTTGCATGTTCTATTACATTCTAGAATGATTCCAATAAAGCATTAAATTTATCATAAAGATGTCGCTATTTACCGAATAATGTTAGGAAACACCTAAGAAAGCCGAAATTAGTGAGGATAGATAGGTATTTTAGATATTATATTAAAGTCTTATAAATATTATATTGTATTGTGTAAAAAGGTGTTATGTTAAATAAAAATAAAATAATAATTAATGGTGAATGGAAATAAAAGTTAAAAAATGATCATTTTAAAAGGATACAGACTCTTCAGCTATAGAACGTGAAATTAAAAAAAAAGACAACGTATATGACCATAACATTTGAAGTTAGGTCTCATCATAGCAAGTATAGTGCGACAAGCTTATCATGCCCGGTATGACGCTTTTCAAATATCTTGGCGGCCTAAAGCAATTAGTGCGTTGCGCAGTTCTCTTCTCTCGCCTCCCGCTACGTACCTATATACCTAAATTTGTGTTTTGCTCTTCCATTGGTGCATGCATCAGAGCCGCCAAGATATCTGAATACTATAATAAGGGGGCGCCAATACCACCGGGGTTAGTACGATTAGAAAACACGTAAAACCTACATAATTACAAACAAGGCTTGACAAAACAGAAAAGTTGAAAAGGATTTCGTAACAGTTACTTTAAAAGTGGAGCGTTAATGAATTATTATTTACTTTTATGCCCACCGGGTGAGATATGTTTGTCGTTCTATACTCTATACGTTCATTTATATTAGCACTTACCATGACCAGAGGGTGATGCAATATGACGGTTACATTGGGGCGACTTGAACAGAGCACTTGAATTCATCGTAGATTGCACTGGCGAAGAGCTTGAATAGGCAGGGGAAGCCGAGCTTACCTTTAAAAAAAAACATTTAATTAGGACTTTCTCTTCAAATAATACAAACAAATCTTAATTATTTTCATTCTATAGCGATACTTCATTATTAAAAACTTGGAGAATTTTTTTTATCTATCTTATTCTACTTCCGTAAGGTCACTTCCTTCTGGATCCTGTCACCTTTTACGCTATCCATCCACCTCTTTCTAAATCCAGAAATGTGACTGTTATAATATAAACTAAGTAATTTTGTAAACATTAAAAATGATCTTTACCGAAGTTGTTCCCGGAAGGGAGAGTACTTGAGAAGTGCTTGGGATGCTGGCATTAGACAAAGATGAAGAAGAACTTGAAGAGACTGAAGCAGATGTAGCTTCTGAAGCAGCTGAAGAAGCTGCGGGATTAAGAATAATATTACATATTTAAAAAAAATACACATAAACGTACAAATCTAATAAATTTATCGATAAACACCTGTTGCGAAGTAGTTTTCTAGTATATTAGATGGGGGCGTTGCATCAATGGTCGGCATCGAAGCAGCAACTTCAGCAGCGTTTACATATTCAGAGTTTACCGAAATGGTTGGCGGCGGCACCGCCACCGCTGAGTCGTCGACCGCAGACTAGAGGTAAATTATAAATTATCAACAATTTAAATATCTGCATTTTAGAATATTGCGCATGCATTGTTTTGTATTGAAACAATTTCTATCTACTCACTAGTAGTAGGTCACATACTAATAATTTAGTATCCAATAGTGTATTACTATTACTAACATATTTTTTTCTTAAATATTCTTTACAGATAAAATAATTTAACCAATATCTTTATGAGGCATGCCAGCCATTTAAGTTGCAACATTTATAGAAAAAAAAATATATTATACAGGTTTTCTTATCATATTACAAAACTTAAAGTTACAATTCAAAATCTGAACTGTATAGTGAAATCAGATAAGACAATTAAAAGAAAAAATAAAGAAAACCTGCAAACATCCAATTACATTTATCTTTACTCTTAAAGCTTAACATCAATAACATGGCATAATCAGTATACAAACATTCTCGTCAACAAAAAGGACATTAAAAATAAATACAATATGTACCAATTAGTTATATAAATGTTATCGGAAATGTGTGAGTCAGGAATTGTATAACTGGGGCGCTACCTCTTTTTTAACTACTCCTTCCCCCTTGATCATTGTCTATCCCCTCCTCTTGATCAATAACTTGTCCCCCCTTGGTCACCGGCTACCCCCTTGATCATCAGCGAAACACCCCCATCATCAAATATAAGTGAAAATATAAAAATACCAAAGAAGAGCAACTGGGAATGCAAATAATTTAAAATATGAAACTTAATTTTTAGAAAAAAAAATGTTGATAGTGAGATAGTAAATTTAAATCTCTAAAAATCTATGCAATCACATAGTTTTATTAATTTACAGTTTGAATAGTGTTATGCTAAAGAAAAGAAGAAAAACGCCAATATTGTATTTATAAAAAATAACAAAAAAAAACAAAGCAAACATTTAAAGATTTGACAAAGCAAAAAATTTTTTTCCACATGTAGTTTCAGCCTGTTTAATTTGGATAATAACTTTTTAGGCATCTAACAACAACATAAAAATATGTCATCAACTCTTACATTTGAGGCCGAGCTGATTGGCACGAAGTTGAGGCAAGCATTCACTTTCCACTGCATATGGAGAGAATTTTAGTGTAAAAAAAAAATCAGATTTACGCGATGATTTCTAAATGATGTGATGTAAACAAGGCTATATTTATCAAATACCAGCTGTTGCTCGCGACTTCGTCCATGTGAAATTTAAAAATATAGCCTACGTTACTCAGCGATAACGTAGCTTTCTGATGGTGAAAGAATTTTTGACATCTGCCAAGTAGTTTTTGAGTTATTTCAATACATGCAAAAATACAAATAATAATATAGATGATTGGTGAAAAAATTATGTGATTTTGTTAGTGATATTATCTTTTTATTATGAAATTTTTATTTTCAGTTTTACAAAATTGTAAACCATGGCATAGTGTACTGAGCTTTAGTTTTAAGTGAAGGGACTTGATAACTTTTCTGTCCAAGTTTTCTCTAACTTTATAAAATCTTCGTGGAGTGTCGACTAAATTTGGCGGAACCTCGAATTTTCGAGGGGGGAATACTAAATCCGAGCTCTCGCAGTTTTGTAGTAGACATCTCCAGTTACCCGCGTCAATAGTACTGTCTCTATTCTTATACTAAACGAGCCAAACACCCAGTGAAAGTGAAGTGAAATTAAGTATTATTAATTTGCATAGCTCAAATTATTTTGCAACTAAATGTTCCCGTGCGGCTTCATTCGCATGTAATTTTAAAAACTTCATTTCAATGTTTACTTATATGAAATTTCAATATTTAATTGCAATTGTCAAAATTCAAATGCACAAATGACAATGAAGACTTTTGATTTTAGGTAACAATTACCTCTACCAACCTTAGTTTTATAGCAGGAAAATAAATAGCCTAAAGCGCATCGTAAATAGGGCTTTTTATTAAAAGACGATTATTAAAAAACTGTAATCGCTGACATCCTACATAGCAACGACGTGTGTGTTTACCCTTTATTATCCGTAGCAGCGTAAAAAATTGTGTTTATTTTTAAATATCTTGGAATATATGGTGGTTCAGCGCACAAACGTAATTAAATATGAGCCGCCATTAATTAATACTATCGAGCTTAACTTATCTAATTATATCTCATATCTGTACAAAACGCTTGTAAAAAAATTGAATCACTATACTCATATGTACAGCCTGAACACTGTGAAACAATAATGTAATCAACAATAGGCAATATGCATGTATTTTTTCTTTTTTTAAACAATTCTACTTGTTATAAAATAACCAGAAAAAAATGACTTGAAAACATTCAACCATTGAGCTAATAATAATAAAATAAAATTATCAAAGGAAAATTCGTGCGACTAAAACGTGACGTCAACCGTCATATTTCAGACATTTCATTCATTTCATTCATCACATTCGCTCAGATGTCATTTCGATGTCAAAATCAACAAAGTATCACATTGGTTCTCAAAGTTATCAAAAGTAAAAAACCGATTCATTTTCATTATTCCAGGTACAAATAAGTGATAATTAATGAATGATTGTTTTCATTATTTTTTTTACTTTAAAGTTACTTTTGATATTGTGTTTACAGTAAAATAATTCTAGAGTGAATTTCTATATAAACTAACGTAAATGAACTGTGTATTGATAACACAGCGACGCCATATTAGATAAGTCACTTGCCTCGACCAATAGCGTTTCGTTTTAGAACTTAGCGAGGGAATTTAAAAAACGCACTTTTTAATCATTAAATTTCGCAACTAAATATCATTATATTTAAAAAAATTCTTTACAGGTATTATTTAAAAGTAATAAAGAATACATTAAAAAGTTTGGTCTAATTTGGCGTCATATGCATATTGCCTATTGTCATCAATTTAGTCTAGAAACTATTAAGTAGGGTATTCCCAAATTTCTTAACGCTTTACATCGCTTTCAGGAGTTAAAATAGTAAGTTTTTAATGCAATTAGCTGATTAAAAATTAAAAAAAATTGTACATACGTAGTAGTATTTGTGTGTAATTGTCACAACTTTGTAGAAAATTTCACCAATCGCCATCTTTCACTATAACCTGGATTAACACTTAAGTCTTACACTTTTAAGTTCAAACGAGAGTTTAACACAAACAACATTAGTTTTTAAACACCAAAATAGGACACGTTTAGCGCAGACCGCGAAGCGAACTAGAAATGAGAGAGGAGGAGCGCAGAAGACCGAAGACTGGGTGACTTCGACGATGCAAATTTCTTATTTAGGGTTACCATTGAAAAAAAATTATCATTTAAACAACAAGTTATTACGTGCCATAATCGTTTTATTACATGAAAATAATGGAAAATGTATAGATATACAAGTTTCTTTTGGCAGCCGACAATGTTATGAAATAAACAAATGACTTTTATTGTCAGGATAATAGTGACATTCTTATCAGTTCACTTCGCGTCTTTATTTTACGCATTTTGTGTGGTTTTTTAATGTTATTCCAGGAAAAAAGTGATGAAAGTGTTTAAGAGTAGTATTAGAGTGGTATTTTCGAAAGTGGGAGTTATTTTTTCGCGGAAAGAAGTAGGTAGGTCCAGTAATTACATTTGTAAATATCAATCATCTTGTGTCTGTTATAACATAAATGTGATACCATTTGTTAACTCAAGAAATTCCCTATTCCCAAGGAGACGCATGTATAATATGTTTAGTTTTGTAATTTCAAAAAATTGTTAATTACCAATTGATTTATAAATATTTTTCTGATAGTGGTTTTAATACCTATTCTTTTCAAATTGCAGACACCGAATCCCTAGTTGTAATGTGTTTTGTACAACTGGAAGTATTTCCTTCATGACATAAAATAAACAAGGATTTTGGTTTTTACCATACTCTTTTACTTAATAAGGAAATTACTGTGTGTACTCAGAAATATAAGAAGAAACTGGCTGTCTGATGATTTTATACCGCATCTTTTCGTTCGAACCACGGGGAGTACCACATAGTTTGAACTGCACGTTCTACGTACTATTATAAACAACAATCATTAAGATTTCAATTATTCTCTAGATAAGCACTGATTTTCTAGTTAGATTGTATGGTACAACTACTTCCTTTACAATTTGAGTTTTCGTTTTCTAAAGGGAAGAATTTACCTTAAATGTGGCAACATTACCTTTTTGGTAACCCTAAATGCTCAGAGGCGCCTTACTGTCAATGTCAAAAAGGTACCACAAAATCCTTGCAAGACTATAATAATAATTATTATAAATAACTACCTTTTACCCACGACTACCGCCTAAACATATCCTATGTCAATTTATAATATATTTGTATTTTTGGAGTTAATAGAATCCGAAATTGTCATTTGTACTTTTGATGTTATTTTGACATGGCAATGAATTCAACGCTCAGATACTTAAATATAAACAATAGAATAGCGTATTGCGATTTCTTACTTCTATCAATCATTAATAATGAGATAGGTCTAACCTGAATGGGCGGTTGAGATTTATCTTCTTCATTCTTAACGTGGATGAGAAGCGAAGTCTGTGGCTGCACGGGCGCCACGGACCCTTGCACCGGCGTGGTAGACAGGCCCATGCCGCTTTGAGTTTGTACATTCAGTTGAGGCGACGACAGGCTACTTGCAGACACCTTTCATAACAATCCACATTTAAACTAATGTCCCAATTACGTCTCTAAGATCCCAATTTTGGTTAAATAATCAAGTGAAACTTTGTTAATTTTAAGGAAACATTCGGTATAAAAAGCAATTATTATATATAAGTAGCTTGCATATTTTCGTAATTTGAACGTTGAAATTTGTGACAGGGTGTAAATAAAACAATAAGTTAAAAAGAAAGTAAGAAAATGAGGCGATATTAAATGGACCTTAAGTTAAACTCTTTTAATTATTTAGGCTTGCCTAATAAATAGAGGCTTATTAGATTTCATAAGAAATGAATCCTAACTACTTAAGTTGTTATCCTTTTCTATTTTTGTGTTAAGAAATGTTTAAATAACAACATTACATTTGTTGCTATATAATGCAATGTTATATATTGAGGGGCCTAAACAAGAGGTGTGGTAAAAATCGGAGATGCTACAAAGATTGCTAAATCTCAATAAATAATCAGAATAGATTTATTTGTATTGTAATATTCTAGCACATTTTTAATAAAACACTCCACTTTGTTATTTTTATTCTGTGCCATCATATTTTTAAAATATTATTTTACTAATGGTCACACTGATGATATAAACGTACTTAATCTATGATCACATTTTGTTTTTATTGTCTATGATAAAATGGAAGTGTAGTTATTGCAAAAACAACACAACAAATAAAATTAAACAACCAAATACCTCTTTAATGGAAATTTATACTACATGTTTAATTAAAACCCGGTGTTAATGTTTTAAATCCTGATTTTTTATATAAGTGTGTTTTAAATACGAACTTCCGTCGCCTACATTAGACGTTTTAAAAAAATATTAAAACACCTTAAATAAGTAATGAACTATCTTCATTTAAAATAAATTCAGTACATATATTAATAAAGGTAAGGTTGTAATTACCATCAGTTTATTAATTGTGAATTTAAAAAGTTTTAGTTGTGTACAAGTTTTAGTTGGGGACTCACCGTTTGCATGGGAGTTGTGTGGGTACTACCCTGAGGCTGTATTGGCATCCCCACTGAAGTTTGGACTAAGTTTCCTCCTACCAGCGTCTACGGTAGTTTAAGAAAAAAAAAACTTACTACAAAATATAAATGGGTAAAAAAAAAAATTATAATCGTTATACAGCAAATAAAACATTGATTCAATATTGAATTACATCTCATTTTATTGTCAATTATAGTTAAATAATCATAATTTAAAAAGCATAAAAGCAATTCTTTATTGGTATAGAAAATCGAACTTGTCATGAGCCATTGCGCAGAACACAATTTTATATCTGACAGACTGTAAAGGCTTACAGGGAAGGGAACTATTAGCTGTCAAAAAGATTAATATCTTCAAGAATTGGAGTCATAGAAGAATTGTAGCAGTTTTAATGTATTTTTAATGTTAATTATTAAACTGCGATCACAATGTTGATTGTTTTAAGATGATTTTTTTGTGACATAAAGAGGCATTTACAGTTTCACCGGGCTTGAGGTGGCCGAGCGCAGATGGCGCTTTTCCTAAACCTCTTTATGAAAAGATAAACGTTTAAGATGAGGGTTTAAAGAAATATTCGGTATTACCTGTGGCTGCTGTAATGTTTGGACTTGAGCTATTGGTGTATTCTGGTTGCTTTGATTTGTATTAAGCTGGCTCACAATGGTTCCCGATTGATTCATACCACCAAGCTATACAACGAAAGCATATAATGATTGACGGCAACAACAAAAAAACATTCATACAATATTGCGCAAAAAAAAAACACTCACATATGCATATGCTCATATAATTTTAACCAAAATTTTAGAGTTAATTAAAATGTAAGTTTATTTGACTTACCGTAGTTAAGTAAGATTCATACAAAAATGTGTTATATCAGGTTTTTCAACACACTTTTTGTATGAATATTACATCAGTGGAAGCTGACTATTAAGGCAAACGGAACTGACCTGATGTATTTGTGGTACCATGGATATCTGGGGTAACCCAGTCATCGGTAATGTCTGGGCAACAGAACCTACCGGCAGCGATCCTTGTGGCATGTTCAGAGTCATCGCTGCAATGAAGAACGAAGTGTCAGGTTGTGTTTTTTTATGTTATAAAGTGGCAAACGAGTAAACGGCCGCCAGAATCCGATGATAATGATCATTCATAAGGACGAATTACAAATGCGTTGCCTAGCCTTAATTGACGGAGGAGAAAACATGAAGAGGATATATCCCCTTCGTGAGCGTTTCCTTCGCCGTCAAATACACTTTTCCTCCCTTTAAAAAAAAGGGTGGAAAGGAGTAGGGACTAAAATCAGGCCTCCAGCCCTACACTTGTCAGACGAAACACGGGATTGCTCCCACTTCACGCCTGTCTTCTCTGTGGTCGTGGTATTGCTGGGGGCAGTTAAAGCGGGCTCTACCACTGATAAATTGTTAAATCTCCAGAAGTTACCTTATTGGTATTGTCAGATATTTTGTACTAAAGGTGATAGATATTTTACCTTGCTGATAATGTTGGACCATCTGTTGAGTTTGTTGCTGTTGCTGCAACAGTTGCTGCTGCTGCTGTTGTTGTTGTTGTTGTTGTTGTTGTTGT